CAACCATAAGTCAAGGACTACCTGTATATAAGTCTATATGCTATTGCTATATTTTGTCAAATTTATATACACAGTGCCAGCGTTCCAAGTAACAACCTCCAAAAATAAAAAAAACTCCGAGCCTGTCATCTTCTCAAAGATCCATTTTATTAGAAATGTCCATATTGGCACATCTGAGGAAAACCCGAATCTCAGATTTCCGGGGTTTCCTTAGCCCAAAGGAAATCCAAAATCCAACCCCCTGCACCCAATAGTCCAGGGGTGGCTAATCTTTTTGGGCTCCCATGCTGAAAATTGCACAAGCGCTCACGTGTGTGAGCTTGCATACCAGCACCCAGAAGGCAATGCATGTGGGGGGCCCCACACCTCCTGAGCATGTGCACACATGACCCCCCCCATGCCATGCATCTCTATGCATGCATGTGCGATGCCCCCGCCCCCACGCACATCTCTGTGCATGTGCGCGCGCCTCCTGCCCCCCACACCCTCCACGCATGTGCGCCAGATACCTGACAATCAGCTGTCAGGCAGGCAATGCATGTACAGTGGGGCTCTTCCAGGCGACCTCTTGCATGCCAGCAAAAGTGCCCCTGTGTGCCACTTCCAGCACGCATGCCATAGGTTCACCATCATGGCAATAGTCCATCACCTGGTCCAATCATTATTTTATTCCAACTGGAGACTATCCCCAGGAACTGCCCTCCAGGTGCAGGGTGACCTGTCCTTGACTTTCTGAGAAAGGAATGTTGTGGGTAATCTTCCACCGCTCCTTGAAGTCCCCTCTCCCAGGTTCCCAGGCACTGAATGTGGCAGAAGCCTCAAAGAAAAATGGCTCCCAAGCTGACAGCTGGCATATAATTCTCCCTTAGTGTCTTAGTTAATCCATGCAATGCCAGTCTTGTTTTTCTAGAAGCCTCCTTTTCCTTTTCGTTCAAAGGAGGCACGGTGTAAACAATTTGTTTCAGCCAAGATTTAGCTTGTCCCACTGTCCCTTAAGTCCTCTCTCCTGTGTGCCCGTAGTCTCTTTGCTTTCCGAAGCATAAAGTGGTGAATTTTACATCAAAGAAAGAAAGGTGTGAAGTGAGTTTAAGCTTTTCTGCACTGCTGTGAATAGACTTCGTTCCCTTTTCAGTTTCTCGTATGCGTGATCGGAATACCCCCGTGAGTAAACGCATGCCAGTTCCTGAGGTAAATTTTCAGGCAACCCCTACTTGAAAAATGTCTGACTCACAGTAGGTGGCAGAAAGAACAACTCAAGACCAAAAATATCTGCTCGTCAGTTCTGTCATGCCTGGAAGTAATGATAGCCATCGTGCCTTGAGAGAAAAGTAGTTTTCGGTGTTTTAGATCAAGAAATTCATAATACTCCTGCGACGGCTTGGTTCAGACCAGGGAGATATGAAATGTTCTACAAATGTCAAAATGGCATTAATTCAGCTGCCTTTGCTTCTTCCCCATGAAGAACACAATTTTTTAAAAAGATGTTCTTGGCAAACTCCACCCATTAACATCCTCTTTGGTAGCAGCCTTCTTAGTCATAATTTTCTTCATGGTGACAAGAATCCCCTAAATATCATGTTACAGTTGTCACCTTCAGATGTGATGAACTTCTCAAACCTACCTGGTCTTCAGGAGCGGATGTTAGGTGCTCAGCAATCCTACTGACCTTCACCTTTATCTCTTAAGTGCTGGCATCAGCTGTGGGCTATTATGGAAAGTGGGGGGTTGCTTTCTGCCTCTTAAAAAAACATGTTTCTCCATTTCTCCCTTTGGGGGGAAATATAATATTCTGCCTTTAAAAAAAAAATATTTCCCAAAATGTTTCATTCTTCTAGGAGAGGGGTAGGTGCTGACTTTCTACACCAGGAATTCCATGGCTGCATGAACTGCATTGGCTTCTGGTTGTCTTCCGAGTGCAATTCAAAGTTTTGGTTGTTGTCTTTAAAGCCCTGGGTTACTTGCAGGACCTTCTCTCCCTGTGAGTTATCTGGCTGTCCTAATAGACATGGTAGAAGCATTCCAGTTCTGCATCCTTAAATGTTGCCATCTGATGCCTTCTCAGTGGCCCACTCCCACCCCAACTCCTTGGAACAGCTCTCTTCTCAGTGAACAGAGGGACCCTGCCCTCTTAGCCTTCCAGAAGGCCCTACGTTTCTGTTGCTAAGCGAGACATTGGTTAAGTAAGCTTTGCAGGTAAGCAGAGACTGAGCTTGGCTGCCCCTAGAGGAGTATTTCCCAAGTCATGGGCAGATAGAGGGGGTCCTTGACTTACAACCATAATTTTGAGCCCCAAATTCCCATCACTAAGTGATACATTTGTTAAGCGAACTTTGCAGGTGAGCAGGGACTGCCCGTAGAAGAACATCTTTCAAGTGATGGTCCTCAACTTATGACTGCAATGGAACCCCACATTTCTGTCACTTGGATGTTCTCTGAAACAGTGGGATAGGATGGGGGTTGAGCTGTGAAGATGTTGGTTTAGTGCAGGAGTTGGCAACCCGCAGTTCTGGAGCCACATGTGGCTCTTTCATCTCTCTGCTGCGACTCCCTGTTGCTGGTTGGCACCACCATTTTGAAAGGAAGTTCCGGTTTGGGGGGGAAAGCACAGCACACCAGGAGGAGACTCTATGGTTTTCCAGTTGGATCCACAATTGATAGGGCTTTCGGTTAGGACAGGTAGAGGAAAAGATGCTGTGCTAGGAGGAGACTCTATGGTGGGGGAACCAGACTTCCAGACAGCTCCAGAATTGAACGGGGAGCTACTGCATTAGGACCTTTGTGGCTCTTTGAGTGTTTAAAGTTGCCCACTCCTACTCTAGTGCCTGTGTGAAAGAGCACTTCTCTTTCTAAAATTGTTGTGTGGATTATTATGGACCATGTAGAGCCATCGGATGAGATAGGCATCCATACAAGTCCCAAAAGTTAATAAATAAAACGATGATGCGCCAATGACATTTGTAATCATGCAAATGCCATGACTCGCATACTTCATTGGATGTCAAGGCAGAAGAACACCCTGGTGGCACTTGTGTCACATCCTCACTGACAAATATATCAACTTTTTTTTCTCCTTGGGTCATTGCAATTTGCTGAGGTTGCCGGTGTTGGCAGCCCCATGTGTGTGTGAGTGTGTGTGCATGTGTGTGTGTTGTGTGTGTTCTTCATCTCAGTGTTCATTGATCACAAGCTACTAGCTGACATTCCAAATTCTTAGTGGAAATCCTTTCAATGAATTGTGATTGCTTCCTTCTGAAGGATGGCTCTGGTTTTTTTTTTCTCTCTCTCTTCCAGATGCTTTTTAGAGTAAATTCAAACAAAATGTCTCAGGGGTTGCCCAAAAGAAGAGGGGGTCAAGCTATTCTCCAAAGCCCTTGAGAGCAGGACAAGAAGCAATGGATGGAAACTCATCAAGGAGAGAAGCAACTTAGAACTAAGGAGGAATTTCCTGACAGTGAAAACAATTAACCAGTGGAACAACTTGCCTCCAGAAGTTGTGAATGCTCCAACACTGGAAGTTTCTAAGAAGAGACTGGACAGCCGTTTTTCTGAAGTGGTGTAGGGTTTCCTGCCTAGGCAGAGGGTTGGACTAGAAGACCTCCAAGGTCCCTTCCAATTCTGTTATTATGTTAAATAATAATGGCAAGATGCAATTAAATAAATTAAATACATGTGATGCTAATACTGAGCTAGTGTACCATGGACAGCCAGAGTATCGAACTGAGAGGTGTTAAATCACAGAAAACTAGATACATCACTACTAGCCAAGATCACAAGACTATATCTGAGTTACTTTGGGCATGTCATGGGTGCAAATTCATTGGAGAAGGCAATGATGCTAGGAATGGTTAGTAAAGCAAAAAGAAGGGCCGAGTAAAGAACATGCTTGCTTGATAACATTAAATCTGATGCAAAGTTGAACATCCAACAATTGAAAGAAGTTGTGCCTGACAGGGTAGCATGGAGAGCATTTGCTTATAAAGTCACTAATTCAAGAGTTGGACACAACTGATCGATTAAAACAACAAATACCGAGATAATCACCCCTTCTGTCTTGGTCTGAGGGCTGAAAATGTGGAGGTTATCTCAACATTAAAAAACAGGGTGTTTCCCCCCCCCCCCCCAGAACTGAGTATCTATCCTGTGGTTTATGACAACCATACCTAGAGGTATGCAAAGCAAAAGGACTTTACTAATATTTGAGAATATTTGTAGCTCAAGGATGACATGAGGGGTCCTTGGTGCTCTCCGAGTTTGCTTGTTTTCTTGCAGACGTTTCATTACCCAACTAGGTAACATCATCAGTGTTAGTAAGGAATGAGGTTGGTCTCTACATTCTAGTGGCTTGGTCTGTTGGTGTTGGTGGGAGTCTAGAAAGTGAGAGCAAACCCTATTCCTCATTAGCACTGATGATGGGGCTGGATGGGGCTGGACTAAAAGACCTCCAATGTCTATTCTATTCTATTCTATTCTATTCTATTCTATTCTATTCTATTCTATTCTATTCTATTCTATTCTATTCTATACCACTCCATTCTATTTTCTATTCTATTCTATTCTATTCTATTCTATTCTATTCTATTCTATTCTATTCTATTCTATTCTATTCTATTCTGTTCTGTTCTGTTCTGTTCTGTTCTGTTCCGTTCCATTCTATTCTATTCTACTCTACTCTGATTCCATTCCATTATGCATTCTATTCTATTCTATCCTATCCTATCCTGCATTCTATTCTATTCTATTCTATTCTATTCTATTCTATTCTATTCTATTCTATTCTATTCTATTCTATTCTATTCCATTCACTATTCTATTCTATTCTATTCTATTCTATTCTATTCTATTCTATTCTATTCTATTCTATTCTATTTCTATTTCTATTTCTATTTCTATTTCTATTTCTATTTCTATTCTATTCCTTCTCTGTCAAAGAGCTACATTTTGTCCTGATTACTGTTTCTGAATCATCTTTAAGGTCAGCTCTACATAATGAAGTACATTGTCAGGAAGTTTCTCCTTAGTTCCAGGTTGCTTCTCTCCTTGATTAGTTTCCATCCGTTGCTTCTTATCCTGACTTCAGGTGCTTTGGAGAATAGCTGGACTCTCACTTCTTTGCGGCAGCCTCTTATACTTTGGAAAACAGCTATCAGATCACCTCTGGGCCTCCTTTTCATAAACTAGGTTGATCCCTTTATATATAGATGGTCACTTCATTTAAAGCTTTGATTTAAGCTTCTTTTCTATAAAGGGAGGCCTTTTTGTTTGTTTGTTTGTTTCTTTTTCTCATCCCCCCGTACCGCCGTTCCAGGAACAAGGAGACTGTTGGGCACCCTGAAATCCTTCCTTTCTCGAACTCTGGTGAAACCGAGGTTCCCTTGTAGGAAATTAGAAGGGTGGGAGGAGAATGCAGGGAGGAAGATGGGAGGAGAAGGAGGGTCTTAAAAAATGAAAGGAGGAATTCACTCCACTTGGTGCTGGTGGTTGCTTTTATTGTGGAAGCAGCAGGACGCCCACCCCCAGACGATGCTCTGTTAACCCCCCCACCCACAGGCTCTCTTCTAGCACTGCTTTGAAAATAGGAGAGAGAGCTGCCTTCTCCATGCTCTCCGTCGGACTGTTGGGAGCCTGACAACAGCCGGGCAACCATTGTGTGAAAAACTCCAACCCAGGCTGCGGTTCTGGGTTTCTTTGTGCCTGCCCTCACTCGCTGCATTCATCGATTGCCTTCCTCCTTAGGAAAAAAAAAAAAGACGCAGAAAAAGAAAAGAAATACAAGGGGAGATTATCTATCTTTTCCTTCTGCCCATGTGCTATTGAGCATAATAGACTGTGCTGTGGGGATTTGGCTTCATAATGCAATCTCTTATTTATGGAAGCGAATTCCCAAGGCTTGGTCACACACACACACACACCCGCCAGCGTGGCTACAAAAGAGAAACCGGGAGGAGCAGAGGCAGGTAGAATGGTAGGGTGGCTGATGGGCTTGGTTTGAAGCGGAGGTTTTTCTTCTCTCTCTCTCTCTCTCTCTCTCTCTCTCTCTCTCTCTC